TCCTTCTTTTCATTAAACTAGACATACCAAATTCCAGCAACTGTTCTTTATTTGTTTTAGCCTCCAGTCCCCTGATCATCTGTGTTGCTCTTTTCTGCACTCTTTCTAGAGTCTCTACATCTTTTTTTTACATCGTGGCAACTAAAACTGGATGCAGTATTCCAAGTGTGGCCTTACCAAGGCGTTATAAAGTGGTATTAACACTTCACGTGATCTTGATTCTATCCCTCTGTTAAAGCAGCCTAGCACTGTGTTGGCTTTTTTGGCAGCTGCAGCACGCCGCTGGCTCCAGGTAGCATCTTTTCAGATATACAGATTTGATTTAAAAAGATCCTACAGCTCATTTCAACAACTGCAAAAGCTCCATGCATCTGACGAAGCCTGTAGATCCTCCACGTTGGATGAAGTGAGTCATAGTTCGTGAAAGTTTATGCTTTCAATAAATTTTATTCCTCTGAAAAGATGGTACCGGGGACCTTCTGATTTGTGGGTACCACAGTCTATCAGGGCTCTCCTCCTGAAACTTTAGCTATTCATTTTTAATAAGTCATACTTATTAAAAGTGCAGGCTGAAACTTCCTTCTCATGAACAGCGGGAGATAAGATTTAATTTTGCTTTTTGGGCAACGAGGAAGAAAGCAAAGTTCAAACAGCCTTCCTGGCAGATTTATGATGCTCAACAAGCTGGAAGAATATTGCTAGTCTTGTGCTGCTCCTTCCTGTTCTACCAGTTTTGTAAATATTGGGTGGGGTGGTTTAGCCTGAGCTCTTTTATCAGATGAAAACTACTCAGAATGAAGTGGCATTGTAGGGGAAAGGTTGGCTTATCGTCTTATTTTGGTTTGAGATATCAAATCCCATTTGCATCAAATCTTAAACAATTTCTGTAATAGTGAGCTTAAAAAGAGTCTATATGGAAATTCTCAGTCATTCAGATCATGGTTGTGTCAACGCTGCAAATACTGTATATTCTTGCTTTGACAATATGCAGAGCTGTCTGGCATTTTTATAGTTAAACCAGGCAGAAGGGGAAAAGAAACCGGAAGTAAATCACATCTTCCAAGTTGATTGGAAGATGTGAACCATGACCCCAAAAAAAGGTGGGAGGGAAATGCTTAGATTTACATGCATAGCGGAAAAGAAGCCAGTCCTAAGCATTTCCTCCATGTTGTACTGATGTATCTGTAACACAAATAAATGCTTTTAGGAGTAAAAATGCCTGAAAGTCCTTTTAAGTGTTTCGTTAATCAGACACATGACAGGTTGTCTCAAAGGTGGTGTTTTTTTTCAAAAAGCAACTGGATTTTATTTGTTTTTCCTTGAAGACGTTTTCCTTTTCATCCAAGAAGCTTCTTCAGTTCTGACTGAATGGTGGAGAATGAAAGGATCTATATTCCCCGCAGTCATCACTCACAGAGAGTACTAATGACCAGATGACTGCAAAGGAATATAAATCTTTCCGTTCCCCACCATTCAGCCAGAACCGAAGAAGCTTCTTGGAGGAGAAGCCAAAAAGTTGCCTTTTGAAAAAGCACCGTGGGGACATTATTTCTGGAAGATCTTTTCCGTTGGATCTCTGCACTTTTTGCATGCAATGTGTGGCCTTAACATCTTCCAAACTGGTTACCTTTTAGCTGAGTTTTTTCCTTTGATGGAAGGAACACTTTGAACCCACCTGTTTATTTTACATATCAGTAGTTATCATATATAACATCTAAGTCAGCAGTGGAGGTTGTATATAAAATAAAGTTTATTATCAGTACAGAAATACAAAGTAAACAGGCACATCTATATTGGGGGCGGGGGGGGGGGGGAAAGGCCAGAATGTTCCTTTCCTTATTGCCACAGAGGAAATGGAAAAGCACTTTGAGATAGCGTGGCTTAGTGTTTTGTGACTGCGAATGTGTGTCTTGCATAAGGAACTCAGAGAGATGACTTAGACCAGTGGTGGCGAACCTATGGCACAGGTGCCAGAGGCGGCACTCAGAGCCCTCTCTGTGGGCACGCGTGCCGTCGCCCCAGTCCTAGGCCTTCAGCTGGGTTTTATAAAACCTTTTCGCTTTAGGCCTCCACCGCGGTGTGCAAAAAAAAAGAAGGTTCAATCAATCAGTCAATTTCAACTTCTCGCGGGAAAAAAAAAAGATCTTGCAAAGTTGGAATTGATTGATTGAACTTTTTAGTCCCACCCATTCTGCCGTTACCACCGGAGCCACGCCCACCCAATGGGCCACACCCACCCAATGGGCCACACCCAGCCAATGGGCCACACCCACCCGGCACCCGACGATGGATAAGTGGGTTTTGGGTTGCAGTTTGGGCACTCGGTCTCTAAAAGGTTCGCCATCACTGACGTAGGTTCAACGAAGCCTTTCCCTCTTCAATCCTGCGCAGTTTCCCAGGACTTTATGAATATCTGCCTCTTTGCAAAGAATTGCAAAGACAATTCTTATTCATCTACAGCAGGGGAGGGGTCCAAGCTTGGCAACTTTAAGACTTGTGGACAACCAAGCCTGCTGGGAGATTTTGGAAGTTGACGTCCACAAGTCTTAAAGTTGCCGAGGTTGGGCACCCTGATCTACAGTATCTTGTTACATTACTTATTTATATGACGGACAGCTTTAACTTGCAAAACTCTTGTTCCCCCCACCCACACCCACCCCAAGAGAGGTCCCAAGGCAGAGCCTTGATTGCAAGGAGCTTGAAAATGGTACAAAACTTTAAAAAGGATTATAACAGTTCCCTAAAGTACTAACCAGACAAGCCAAGGCTTGACTGGCATGTAAAGCTAAGCCAGTATTTATTTATTTTTTAAAAAAGCTTGTTAAATAAACCACACTGACCTGCATGTCATGCTGAGATAAAAACAAGCATACCCTGTAATGGTTTAGGATAATGTACAAACTAGGTTTATGGATGTCTTGCAGTCAATCACCCCAGTCATACACAGATCTGTTTCCACCTCCATCGGAGGGTGGCAGTGTCCTCTATTAGAGGTAGCCCTCGTTTAATAACTGCCTCATTTAGTGACTGATCTTGAAGTTACGACCGCGATGAAAAAGTAACCTTGCGACCAATCCTTGCGTCTGTGACCTTCACAGGTTTGTAAAGCAAAGAAAAGCTGAAGTAAGATCACACATACCATCACAGTGTCAATCAACAACTCCCTCGCTTAACGACCAAGTTACTGATCCCAATTGTGGCCACTAAATGAGGACTACCTGTATTTAAAACTAGTTTGGGCTATTTGCTGATCCTGAGTGCCAGTGAACCTGTATCCCTTTTACAACATTCCCCCCAGGAATATCCACATCTCTGGATTTCAAGGACCCAGCTGCTGACCATTAGGGACGAAACACCCCTACAAGCCCTAGAATAGCTTTCATGCAGTTGAAAGGGAAAAGAAGAAATGAACACCCTTTTGAAGAAGAAGAAGAAGAAGAAGAAGAAGAAGAAGAAGAAGAAGAAGAAGAAGAAGAAGAAGAAGAAGAAGAAGAAGAAGAAGAAGAAGAAGAAGAAGAANAAGAAAGAAAGAAAGAAAGAAAGAAAGAAAGAAAGAAAGAAAGAAAGAAAGAAAGAAAGAAAGAAAGAAAAAGTTACATATATCAATTACTCTGTACCACTGTCTAAGCCATCTGGGTCCTTGTTCCTTTTCCCACCAAATCCTTCAAGGTCATGTCCCAAGATTAAATGCTCCCCACTCTAGTCTTGAAAAAACAAACAAACACAAGCCATTGAAGACAGTTTTGTCCGACTGCAATAATTGATCTGAAGACTTTGGCTCCACTCTTAAGACCTCTGCAGCGCTGAGCAGAGCCAGCAAGTCCTGAATTTACAAGAGTGAAGTGAGGAAGCTTAGAGCTAACTGGGTTTGATCTTATGGGTTTCAGTTTCCAGGTTTGAGACCTGCTACTTGCTGCTGATGGTTTTCATGGCTTCAAAATCTAAGGGACTGGTTTGGACAAAACTCAGCAGCACTTTTTCGTGCGGCTGCTGATAAAAACAGGATCGCCAACATGATCGCCAACGTCCGATAACGGATATGGCACAAGAAGAAGAAAAACTTGCTGTTTCCTGCCTGCCTGCTTTCCCAGCTCTTGGTTTCTTCTTCAAGCCTACATACCTGCCCTGCCAATATATTTTCACAAGTTTAAGGCAGGCAAACCCCACTCACTCTCCTGCCCAGCTAAGGAAGAAGGGTTACATCACAGTTGCACTCTGTTTACTTTTAGCAGCGCTTCCTGCTAAGAGCAGAGAACACTGACACAGGCCAACCATCCAAAAGACTTCAAGCAGAGGTGGAGAACCTACAGCCCCAGCGTGTGCCCTTGCCCCAATTTTAAGACTTCTCTCCCAGCAACTCACTTGAGACCTGTGAAAAAGAGCTATCTGAGTCTTCTCTAGCTGCAGACTGTGGATCAGAACGAAAACAAGAAAGGGCAGGAAGAGCAAGAAGAGGTAATCCTACCTCTTTAGTCTGTAGCCTCCCTCACTGCTTGCTTCAACCCACCCAAGAGAAGGACAAGGATCCTCAACAGGACAGGATCTGCTCAATTGCAGCATGTGCAGATGTTTTCTAGAGCTGCTTCTGATCAACCAGAAAGGGGCGCCTTTGGTGTTCAAGAGAAGAAACTGCAAGGATGGCACTCAGGCTATTTATAAACCCCAACCTAGAATCAACCTAGGAGTCTGGATGAAGAAAAAAAAAATCCTTCCCAGGCACAGAGACACATAATCATCTTCAGCAGGGCAGTGTTTTATCAGTTGACGGTTCATATTCTTGGAAGTCTTGAAGCAATGTCTTGTTGACCTGGAATCTCTTAGCAGAAACTAGAACGTTGGAGGGTCAGATTTAGTTACCTTTGCTCCATGAAAAGGGGTACATGCAGGTGAAGAAACTCCAAGAGAAGAATCTCTCAGATATGGTCAACTCAAGAACAAAAGGTATGGCAGACAATGACGAGTACAATTATTCTCCCCCTAAAAATATAAACGATTTTTTTTTTTAAAGGCTAGTATGTGAAGACCATTCAGTTTGGGATCAATACTGCACACCCAACTCCCTGGTAGACCTTTGCAGGCACCAACTTCCAGAGCTTTGGTCTTTAGCTCATCTTCTTAGCCACGCTGGCGTAGGTGCGTTCGATCTCCTCGTCAGCTGGACAAGTATGGCTGAACTCATTCCGGGCATAAGCCTGGTGGAGATAGCGCCATAGTGCAGTCATCTCCAGAGGGATCTCAAAGTTGCGATACCTCTTGGCGGCAACCTAGAAATTGGGGAGAACCAATGACGTAAAAGATGTCGATGAGAAAAACGAGCAGATCACATCTGTTTGGTCGAGTGTCAGGATAGCAACTGGATGCCCAGGCAATTGGTTCTTTTGGATCCGGAGACAAACCAGTAAATAAAGAAAATTTTGCCAGTGGTTTTTTTTATGATGCATCCGGTTGTTCCAAACATGGGAAGAAGAAATAGCTATACCAGCTTCCCTTTAACTCTTTGTTAGCAATCCAAATTTAACACACACACACACACACACACACATGTATATGTATATGTATATGTATATGAGTCCGTAAGGAGAAGGGCGGGATATAAATTAAATTAATAATAATAATAATAATAACTGTTATGTAAATTTATGCACATACTCCCTTGTCATTTAGTCCTTTGCTCTGATGATGTTAACAGGTTGTTAACGAAAGCTCAGCAATTAAAAAAAAGCCTTTTGCCTTACATCCCGGAGTTCTTTGTTTTTATCTTACTGACTTTAAATGTCCATACCTGGGATTTCAATATTGAAAATTATCAAAGACGTATATGTATATGTATATGTATATGTAAAAATATAAGAAAAACGAACACCAGGATAAAAATAAACAGGACCGTTTAATATAAACAAGCCTGTGAGTAAAAAAGTTACTTACTGAGCTTTCATCAGCCAAACTACTGACGTCATCAGAGTTAGAATGGTAGGTGATTAGGGAGCTTGCCTATATACAGCTGCCTGTCTCTGCACCCAGCTCCTCGAGCGCGTCATCGGCCCATTAGCTATGTTACTCTGCAATGTGTTAAATTGATTCTCATCCGGCAGCCTGTTGGTGGATCTGATGATTGTAGCTTCCTCTGATGATTGTAGCTACAATCTGATGATTGTAGCTACAATCATCAGATCCACCAACAGGCTGCCAGATGAGAATCAGTTTAACACATTGCAGAGTAACATAGCTAATGGGCCGATGAGAGCCGGGTGCAGAGACAGGTAGCTGTATATGGGCAAGCTCCCTAATCACCTAGCATTTTAACTCTGATGACGTCAGTAGTTTGGCTGATGAAAGCTCAGTAAGTAACTTTTTTACTCACAGGCTTGTTTATATTAAACGGTCCTGTTTATTTTTATCCTGGTGTTCGTTTTTCTAATATTTTTATTGATATGCCCAGGATTTGCATTTTTAATGATATTAAGGACAAATATGTATATGTATGTGTATGTGTATATGTATATGTATATGTATATGTATATGTATATGTATATGTATATGTATATGTATATGTATATGTATATGTATATGTATATGTATATGTATATATATAAGCAGCATGGTGGCCTAGAGGTGAAGACACGCAACTCCCATTCAGAAGGTTGTGAATTCAATCCTAGGCAGCAATCATTGTTTCTCTATCAAGGCGCAAAGAAAAAATATCTGCTGCGAACTCAGCATAGGTGTCAGGAAGGGCATCTAGCCAGTAAATGCTCAGCTCCATCCAGTCGCCCTTGACTTTACCCGGAATTAAGGGATTGCAGGGTCGTAAAAAGGGAGTATATGTATACATGTTTATTTGCTATTCAGATATGTGTTTTTCATTTATTTCTTTTTTCAAAAAAAGGGGGGGTGGGGGAAACCCTAAAGTAGAGAGGGGAGAGACTGAAACTCAAAGGATTCAGTTATTCTAAATTCAATAAATAAATAAAAATATCAAACTCCTTCACCACAAATCTGGATGAGAAAGGAAGACGGGACTCGAGGGGTTGAAACCCATCTGAGAAACGGAGATGAGGGCCATCAAAGAGCAAGAAGCATTCACCTTGATGATGTTGAGTTTGGGGAGAAGGTTGCAGTCTGCTAACGTCATCCGGTTTCCGTCCAAGAATTTCCTTTCGGAAACCAGAAGGTCTTCAGCACAATTCTGGTCAATTTCTTCAGGCAGGGGGTTTCTTAAGTAATCATCCAAGCGCTGGAACTCTTTCAGCAAAGCTCTTTCCAAATCTGAAGCACAAGAAAAAACCAATGAACCATCCTCCACTTCTAGTGGGGTATAGGTAGTCCTTGATTTACGGCCACAGTGGGGTTGTTAAGTTAGTCATGGTCAATTTTATGACCTTTCTTTACCTCGGTGGTTAAGTGAACCATGCGGTCATTGAGTGACACCAGCTTTCCCTATGGACTTGGCTTCTCGGGAGCCATCTGGGAAGGTCAGAAAGGGTGATCACATGGCCTGGGACCTTGAGCCATCCTAAGTACATGCCAGTTGCCAAGCCTTCCAATTTGGATCGTGTGAGGATGGGGAATGGTCGTAAGTATGAGGTTTGGTCCTAAGTCACTTTCTTCAAGACTTTAATGGTCACTAAATGAATAGTTGTAAGTCGAGGATTGGTTTTGCTTATCAGACAAAAACATTTGGGAGAGATTTTAAAAAAAACAAAGAATCACGAGAAAAACATGCGTATGTTTTTTTCCCTCTTCCTTACTTTTATTCGCTTCTTTATGGGGGTTCTTGATGTACGCGGAGAATTTGGCAAAAATGTTTCTGCCCACATCCATGGACTCCTTGTTTCGGGGAGTGAGCTGTGGGTACCTTATTAACAAGAAATGCTAAGTTAATTTTCTACCACGCCAAGGAATAACACAACACCTTTGCTTCAAAATCACCGTTTTTAGAAATCAATCTCTGAAGAACAATGAGACAAGATTTTTAAAGCAGGGTTACGATGATACACCGGAGATCAAAAACCTGAATAATTAGAGCCCTAAATAATAATAATAATAATAATAATAATAATAATAATAATAATAATAATAATAATAATAATAATAATAATAATAATAATAATAATAGTAGTAGTAGTAGTAGTAATAATAATAGTAATAGTAATAGTAATAGTAATAATAGTTGGAAGGATGCTGGTAGCAACCCGTGTCAACCATCAGCGCCAGCCAATTTGAATGTTCAGTTGACTAAGTTTCATGTCTAATGAATAAAAGATAATAGTTGGAAGGGACCTTGGAGGTCATCTAGTCCAACCCCCTGCTCAGGCAGGAAACTCTATACATTTCAGACAAATGGCTGTCCAGTCTCTTCTTAAAAACTTCCAGTGTTGGAGCATTCACAACTTCTGGAGGCAGGTTGTTCCACAGGTTAATTGTTCTCACTGTCAGGAAGTTTCTCCTTAGTTCTAGGTTGCTTCTCTCCTTGATCAGTTTCCATCTGTTGCTTCTTGTTCTGCCTTCAGGCACCTTGGAAAATAGCTTGACTCCCTCTTCTTTGGGGCAGCCCCTGAGATATTGGAACACTGCCATCCTGTCCCCCCTCCTCCTTCTCTTCGTTAAACTAGACATACCCAATTCCAGCAGCCGTTCCTTATATACTTTAGTCCCCTAATCATCTTTGTTGCTGTTCTCTGTACTCTTTCTAGAGTCTCAACATCTTTTTTAAATCGTGGTGACCAAAACTGGATGCAGT